AATTTATCAATTTCATTCCCTCCTTTCCCTTCTTTTTAAATTTAGTAATATTTATTAGTATTTAAAAAATCATATTTGAAATGACAATGTTAATCAAAATCTTTTCCTAATTCTTATAGACCTGACTACTATAAATACTTGAATGGATTGGCCTTGTGCTTTAAACAAAGAAGGGAAATAGTTTTACAGCCAAATCTGATGTGTCTCTATGTTTAAAGTCATTCCTAGTATTTATCCAGATTCACAAAATGTTTACTAGGTAGAAGAAAATGGCAAAATTGCAGGGTTTTTATAGAATGAAACACTCTCCAGCAATGAAGAAAGAAAAACTCTGAGGAGAAGGAACTGACACTTGTTTTGCCTCTATATTTTAATTCCTATGATTTTGCAAAGCAAGTATTGTTACCCTCAGTTTGCAGGTGAGTGCACTGTACCTCAAAAAGACTGAATGACTCAGCCAAAGAATGCAACTTGATTTAAAGCTGAGATTTGAACCCAAAGCCTTTGGATTCCAAGCCTCAATATTAAACACTACATCTCTTTAATGACCTAATTTATATGTATCAAGTATTTGCCACTGAAAAAATAAATGGACTGAAAGCCAATGTGCATTTATGCACAGCATCATGCAAGGTCAGGCATATGTATAAGTGTGCCCATCTGAATGCTGGGTACATAGCCATTATAGTTTTTGTTTTTATTCTAGGCTACAAGAACATTAATAACAAGCAAATACTTTTCCATCTCTGTATTAAGTCTTAACTTTTAAACACCTGAAATACCTTTGGCAATGACATTTTGTGTAGGTTTTAAAAAATATTAGACCAAACTTTTTGTGCAGTTTGATTGAGAAGTGTCAAGAGAGACTAAAAAAAGGTACAGGGAAATATCATTCCCGAGATGCCAATACTCCCACCAGAAATGTCTGCAATCACTTTCAGCTTCCATCCTGACAATTCAAATTTAAACTATGTTCTTCCTTCCTGCTATATTTAGAAAAAGAGGCTACAGAACATGTTTAATATAGTTATTAGGGCTTAAGTTTTTTTATAACTCTGAATTAGCTCATGGATAGTTTAAAATGGTGTTGAAAAAATTCAATAATGTTGGAATGCATGAGTTCATTAAAAAGGTGTGTGCTATGGTCGGAATTTTGGTGCCCACCCAAAATTGATGTTGAAATCTTCATGCCCAAAGTGATGGAATAGACAAGTGGAGCCACTGGGAAGTAATTACGTTATGGCAGAAGAGTCCCATGAATGGGATTAACACCCTTATAGAAGAGGCCTTAGAGATATCCTCACCCCTCCTAGGATAGGAGGACAGAGCAAGGGAGCCATCTATGAGCCAAAACCAGATCCTTACCAGATGTCAAATCTGCGTTGGTTGATTTGATGGACTTCCCAACCTGCAGAACTTTGAGAAATAAATTTACACTGTTTAAAAGCCACTCAGTTAATAATGTTTGTTATAGCCGTCTAAATGAACTAGTGCCATGTGATAGACTGAAAGTGGTTCTACTAGGTTTTTAGAGTACCTTAAAAAACAGGTGTTTTGAACTCATGATTAGTACAGTGAAGCCAGATTATGCTGAAAAGGCTGCTCTTCCATGTACTGCATGACACTGAAGAAGTGGATTCCTGAGAACAGTTGGTTAGAAATTGCACCTAAGGAGACTGATGCCTGTGAGTGCAATGTGAACAGCTATCTCATCTCTGAGAGTGCAGTGTGAACAACCCACCTCTGCTGCATTAAGAACTATTGCCTGATTAGCCTCTCCAGGAATGGCATTTAGATCTTGGGAAATGCATCCTGTTTAACCTTTTAATTTTTCCAGGAATGAATGTCTAAGAGTACAAGTTAGATAAAGGCAGCCTCAGGGCACCATTTTAGGTTGAAATTGGCTCCATATACACATTAGCTGGAGGGAGAGTATGGCTCTCAGGTGTTTTGAAACATTCACTGTTTGGGCTGGGGATTTAGCTCAGTGGTTCTGGCGCCTGCCTCACAAGCGCAAGGACCCAAGTTCAATCACCAGTACCAAAAAAAAAAAAAAAAGAAAAAAGAAAAGAGAAACATTCACTGTTTAAAGTTCATGGAAACTCTCCCACCCCTTGTTACTGGAAATTGAACCCAGGGCCTTTGTAACCAGCTAAACCCTCAGCTTTTAAAATTTTTTATCTTGAGATAAGGCCTTGCCAAAATCCCCATGTGGGACTCAAATTTAGGATTCTTCTGACTCAGCCTCCTAGTACTGGAATTACAGGCCTGTGCTACGAAGCCCAGATTTTAAGTTTTCTCTTTCCTTTTCCTCTCTCTCTCTCTCCTCTTTTTCTTAGATTTTGCATTTGTACACCTGGAATCCTCTATAGTTTTTTGATGATTTGAAGACAGATTTAAGGAGGTAAAAAGGAATCAAAAGTATAGTGTTACTTTTCTTAATGGTCAAACCAGAATAAAGAACATGGCTGGCTGGACTTCCTATGTCCCTCTATGAATATAGATGGCAGGTCCTCGAGGTACTTTTATGAGTAGACAGAGAGGCTGGAACTACAGTAGGGACACCTGGATGGCCTTGGGTAAGTGGCAGCTCAGCATGGTGAGGAACCACTCTAGGTGCTTGTACCCCACCTACCTTTATTTCCATCAATACTAAGCTCTCATCATTTACCAAACAACACACACACACACACACACACACACACACACACACACACACTTCATGCCATCAAGAACTGGAAAAAGTACCGTTTCTGGGGCCTAGAGGCATTACTGATTCTATGGAAGTTCTATTTTAAAGGAGAAATCATTTTTGGTGTAAATACTTGTGGCTCCACTGCAGAGTCTCAGCAGAAATATATCACACGGAAAATCCACAGGCTCTAAACATTCAGGGCTAAAACAACAAGTTCAAGAGTGCAACAACGGCAATGACATCAACAAAAATGAGAAATTTTTATTCTACATTATATTTATTATGGAAAGTGTGATGCAGAAAAATCATATTCTAAATTTTTTGAAGGTAAAAGTAGGTCATCAGTTCAATTTTTATATTAACATTCATTCAAAAATTGAATTTGCAATTAAGGTAGGAGTATGTTTAAATCCAAAATCTTTATCCTTATATAAATAATACCATTTCATCTTTTTGTAGAAAATGAAGTTTTATTGGTCAGTATCTGGGGAGTGGGAACTTTCTTAAACCATTTTATGATCTTGATATATAGACATCATGACAAGACATAATTTTAGGTTCTAATATTGATACATTTACAAGTACTTCCCTTTTTGAATATTACTTTTTTTTAGTGATTTAATGTGACACTACACTTTTGGTCTTTCTCAGCTGTCTATTCACACACAAATGATTCTATATTAACAATATAGAATTTGACAATTTGGGTGTCATTTAAACTAATACACATCTTCTTAAATTATGTTTCTCTTTTATGCAATAGAAAATATTGATAAATATCAAGATCTCAGTTATGCTGCTCTTATAAACAATATATTTTAAGAACTAAAAACCATTACTTTCTATAATTTTGTTATTGTCATTGATTAATCTAGGGTACAAAGATAGCACATTCATTCTCCAAAATATGGAGATGTATTCATACCTTTTACTGAGAAGTGGTTATGTTTCTATTTTTCCAAATGAGAGTCTCTATTAAAAGGGTGATTCTGGTATTTTCATTTATGTTCAAACCAATAACCAGTCAACAATACTTTTAGTGTTAAGGAGTCAGGGTCAGATTATAATGGGTTTTAGAAATTGGGTCAAAATTTTTGATCTCTAGTAGAGCATTTCCTTTGAGAAGAAATGAGAGAAATTTTAACAACATCAACTCACTGATTAGAACTGTGATAAAATGAAAAACCCTTTTTAGTATTGATACTTTCTGGCTAATAACTCTGACTTTGGTATTTAGTCCACACAAAATCATTCATAACCAATAATAGTAATTTAGACTGGATGTAGAAGATGTGGTTATTTTAGTATATGAGTCTTTCTTAAGGCACTCTCAACTGCTTAGGTTCCTATTATCCTACCAAAATCATCTGTAATTTCTCTTTTTATTTTAATTTTGATTTTTTTGTGTTGTTAAAAATTGTTTTGCTGGTCTCAAGAATTCCTGCAATTGTTTTCCACTTTGAGTGACCAAACATGCTTTTGAAATCTGGGGCTACATCTCAAAAAAAAAAAAAAAAGGTAGGGCTATTATTAACCTTGCAGATAAACACACTGAAAAATATCTAAATGGAGGCTCCAAAACATAACACTGGTTTTCTCCTGTGTCATTTCTAGATAAAATATTAGGTGCTTAAAGAACAGCATTAATACTTTGAAGCTGCTCAGGTGTCAGCCTCAGTAAGAAGTGAACTAGATTTTTGGAGCCAAGGCATAAAATCTTCTACCAGGGATGAATACCAGGTAATAGGGAGCATGAGGTCTAATAATAATAGTTGTAAAACAGAAAAATCATGGAAAGATGTAGCTGTCAATGAATTATTTTAATTTATGATTTGTTCAAATATACTACCATGAATAAAATGCATCTACATGTGCATATATATGGGGATAAGCTATTTACACTTACGCTATGTGTAGATTTTTATGTGTAGAAAATGAAAACACATATTGATTAGTGCTTCTGACACTGTTAAACAACTTTCTCTTCCTGCTTTCCTATAACTGCTTTGAGGATTTAGATAATTCATACAAGGTATGTACACAGTCACACTCATAGTATGTACATCCTAGTCACACACTGGACACAAGAGAATGTGTGAGGAATATAACTCATCCCAGTGGTCAAAGAACTGACCTTACCTGTGACTAATGGTGCGGTTAATTAGCCCTGACATATTTAGTAATATGCCAATGTACTGATTATTATATTCAGCCTTTGTGATAATTCTGTTATCTACTCTCAGAGATGAAAAAGAGACAAAACAGAAAACTACCTTCTTCTGACCTTCAAAAACGAAAAGACAAATTCCGTTACTGAATACACAAGCACACTTTTGTTGGCTTTATTCACTTTTGTACATGTGTCTACTGGATGATGGGAATTGGCCTTTAAATGGGATACAGCATGTTATTTTTTTCTACACATAAAAATAGTAATTTGATTACTCACAGACTGTACACACTTACAGAATGTACTACAACCAACTACAGTATTATGCACAACATATTGCTCACACATTAGTACAGCAGAGATAAATACAGTTAGAAATTTAATAATTGCTAGTTTATGTTTTTTCTTGAATTTCAGGGCATCTTGACCTTTCTTAACCTCCGCAAGGCATCTCTAGATGCCCTTAAACTAAGAATTGGTCTCTCCTCTCCTCCAGGGGTTAAAGAGTAGGTCTATAATACTGCAATCTTCCAGTTTACCTACTTCAATTTAAGACAGGTAGACAAAAATGTACTCAAAGATGTGGTCTAAAACAAATGCTAAAGAAATCTAAACTAAAATCATTAAGGATGCTGATTAGCATAGGTAAGCCCTTTCTGCTCATCCAATATAGTTTTCTTTACACACAGCTTTTACATGTAATTAAAAGCAATGATTTGAACCAGAAATTGCTTAAGTGCTTAAAATTTTTTTCTAAAAAAAAGAATTTAATTTTTAAAATAACAAAGAGTAATTATACTAGCAGCAATGTAAAAAAAAAAGCAAGTTATAGTTTTCTCCCCAGAGATAAATTGATGACATTTCCACATTTAAGAGATCAGGAAAGAAGTATTTCTCTTCCATTGAATTCTCCCTAACACAATTAAATCACTACTGTATCTCATAATTATCACCATACTGGTTGATGATAAGTATCTCTTCCTGAAGTGTAAAATATGTAATTCTAATTCCTACTATTTTGCAGCGAATTAATTTGGAGCTTGAACCCAGAAAGATACTTCATGAAGAATTGGTATTTAGAAATGACCATCTGGAACATCATTTTCTGTAAGGCATTATTTGAGGCCCCTTTTGATACAAGTAGTTGGTTTTCATAATTTTACACTTGGGAGCCCATTTTTTATAACTAAGTTTGGCAATCCTCTGGGCAGAGATAATTGAATTGCTTTCTAACATGCTAGTGTCCAGGAAGAGTAACTACTATAAGTTTAACCCTGTCATTCAACACAATTTCTGATGGAACATTCTTGAGTTTTAAGCCAGCAAAACTGTTAGTGGGTCCTCTTCTTTCCTGCCTGGCATGAAAGCAGAGATGTTACCTGTGTCTCCACTCATGCTCACCAGTGTTGCTTCTCTTTATGAAGCTCCTAAACAAGTTTCTTTTCCAACAAGAAAACAGAAACGATGCCTTCACATCATTATCCTAATTTATCCTCTGGGTTCTAGTCAGTCTTCACAGAGAAAACCACAGTTATATAATGTTGTGCCCTTAATAGATGCACTTGATGGTATAACGGCCTCATTTTTGGCACATTATTGCTTGACTTTAATTTCATATTCAATAGTCTTTATTCTCATGATTAATATCTGAGATATCTGGGTCTTAAAAAAACTTGTAAATAACATCTTGTTGCACCATTCTGGCCCAACAGTCATTTCTTCATGTCCCATGGTTATTTGAATATTCTTTATAATTATCATCACCTTGGTTTTTCTAACAGCCAAAAGTAATGTTTCAGGAATTTTTTTTGTTTCTATCTACACATATATACAGCTGTATTGGATTTACTTTGAGAGAGGTTATTTGGTTGTGGCAAGTGAGTCATTTAGCTGGTGAGTGTTCACAGTTAAAAGTAGCTGTAATGTCCTCTGGCAGATGCCACTGATTACTTATGAAACAGAATTTTTCCACCTCAATTCATCTTCATTTATGTCCTTGGTCCTTGCAAACCAAATTTATTTGATTTTTGTAGTCAAGGAGAATTATTTTTTTCTAAGTAGGATAAAGTTCATGGAAATGTTTCAGCATTTATGACACTATCTTTCTCCTTTGGCAAAAAATAATGTTCAAAATTGTGCAGTCATTTTTAAGCTCGTGTGTCTGCACAGATGACATTTATAATTACTCAGCCAGTTGCAGAATTTCATTAAGAAGGATATAGTTATAAGGATGGACAAGAGATTCAGCAAATCTCCTGTTATTTGCCAGACAGCAGCAGCTGACTTGCATTTGAAAAGAGACAACCAAACGGATCACATATGCAAAGGAACACTGCTCACCACAGAAAACAAAATGCTCAGATATAAATGTGAAAGGGCAAACACTGAAGCGGACATGGACAAGACTTCTGATTCACTGTGTCTACAAACCAGGGGTGGGGACGAGGTGGTCAGCTCTTAGTTCACTGTGCTCTTATCACAGAGGGAAATTCACGGGCTTCATTTTTCAAACACCACGTAGGACAAAGCAGGAGAGAGTAAACAGCCCCATCTCCATGGCAGCATTGTAGATAATTAGTAAATCAGGCAGGTAGAGGTCTATACAAGGCCGTAAGTGCCCAGTTTTCAATAAAAACACATATACATATCTGCAAACCTTATCCTAATACATTGTTTTTCTTTATACTGAATCTGAAAATGTAGGAAAGGGATATGGTGAATTATGTGGTAGTAGAAGTGGACAATTTTTTAACACTTGCAAAATATGTAGGAGGAAAAGAAGACAATAATTTGTCACATTTTGGCAGCAAAACAGTAACAGTAAATACAGCAAAGGCCAGACAATTTATGTTAACAGTATACTTGTATATAGCATCTGTAAACAAATTTTAAAATCATAATGTTTTCTATTTTTTTGGGTGGTACAAACTATTCCCAGAATTATGGAGATTCCCTAAAATGAAAAGAATAACATTAGAATAAACTAGGGATGGTAAAACCTCAATAATCTGGAATACAACCAAATGTCATTTTTATCTTCTTATTTAAGACAGAAAGTTCCTGTTACGAATTTGGTTTCAAAATCCAATCTCTGTGTTATATGCTACACATGCAAACTCAGTCCAATTTATTTCAATTGTTTAACCTATACTGGTATTTAAAATATACTTAGTATCAGATGATTCTGAAAATTAAAACATTACCAAAGACCAAAGTACACTCAATATTGCTGGACCTGTCAAGGTAGGAAAATATATTAACACACTTTATAAATATTTCACTTTGGACACAAAGAAAGAGCTTTCTGGTTAACCTTGACTTAACAAAATGTTCAGTTTAGGCTACGACCCAAAACAGAAAGGATAATCAGGATTTTACTGAATGTAAAGTAGCTGGCCTGTGGCATCAAGAGCCACTAATCCAAAAAGACATAATTAGAAAAGCATTCAAGATAAACATATGGTAGCTAGAGCTATGATATTTTTCTTGTGGTCATAAAAATAGAACAATCAATATTTAATTTAAAAAATTCTGATATTTACTTGGTAAGTGGTATAACATCTTCACATTGTAAATGTTGAGTGATTGCCCCATGAACTGAAGTTTAACTCACCACTTTTATTACTGGGTTAAGAACTATTTTTTATATCTTGATTTAATAAAATATTTCTTATATATATTTCAAAAACAAAGATACATATGTAAAAGGTATTAAAGAAAATCAAGTGACTTTCAACCCAGTATGTGTAATGCAGGTAAAGCAAGGAATAACTGAGAAAGTTCACAGGATCTGCTAGAAAAATGATTCTGTAACTTCCTCTATTGAATGAACCCAGGGGATCTCAAACGATGTGCAAACTTCTAATGCTGTGTCACAGACTGAAGTGAAGGAAAAATTTCAAATAAGTATTTATTGTCAAAGCTCTGTCTTAAATAGGTTCCTCTCTTTTTTATCCATTTGACTATTTCTAAAAGGTGTTCTATAAGATTCAATAAGCAACAAAACAAGAAAGGGTTTGATCTATTTTGTGACAATTTCTAGAGTGTTAGAGGAGTCAAGAAGTTAGTTTTAGCACCAAAGAAAACCAAACTTACTGACATCAAGCATTTTTTTCTTGAAGATTTCATTTGAGAAATACAACTACGGTATCAAATGAATAGTTTTGATTTATTTAATGCGGTGTAAGTGCCTACAACTCTCTTGGGCCTCTGCTTCAATTAACTATTTATCAATCATGTGGTTACTCTAAACTCATGAAAATAAATATTATTGCTGGATGCTGAATTCTTTCTTTTCTGTTTTAATGCAGGAACATCCTGTTCTAACTGCCTCACAGCCGAGGATTACCTGGGGACCTGCCCATCTCAAGTGGGCCCTGTTGACGGCTGCCCCTGTGTACACAAGGTGTACCCTGTGTACACACAGCACGTGTGCCAGCCTGGGTTGGAGACAGCCCAAGAGCAAGAGAGAGAGAAGACAGATTATGTCCTGGCAAAGGCATGTGAGATAAATGGGTACTTAAGGCCAAAAGTTTTAAACTAAGTCTCTAATCATTAACAGTAATTTGGTAATTTGATGGTAATTTCTACTTTAGATAGTGTTTTTAATAGAGGCCAATTAGTAAGAAACTGAAAAATGTGCCTTATTATAAAATTCATTATAAGTTCCAGATATAACAACTGTAATTACCATTCTCAGGCTGTGAGAATGCTGTCAATGCTGTCACTGTGTCTACTTATGCAGGCTGCATACACAGTTAAATTGCTTTGCAAGAAATCAAAGCTGTTTTATTAATTTGGGTTGGGGCCAGTGTAGCTTGTGATGTTAAAGTTCAGGTATGATATTTTGATATTTTTCCCTCTTTAAGTCGAAAAAAGCCAAACTAGATATTGTGAACTGACAGTGCCAATGGTACTTGAGTCTCTGAAAAAAATCATACATGGTCAGATACTCTTTGCTGGCTCAGTGGGGGAATGAATTCATAGGAGATAAATCAGCACCTCTCCAACATGTACCAGTATTTTAATCCAAGATGGAGACTAGTGCTCTCCCTACAATGACTCCAGGAAGGGAAGCCTTTCTAGTGCTTTAGTTCATGCCCTTTTCTCCAGTACCCCAACCTGCACACCATTGTTGGTCACCAAGGCCTTGGCAGGGTCTCTGGGACACCCTCCTCTTCTAGAGATGAGGGCGAGCTAAGCTCAAGCAGGTTCCTGTGTTCTCAGGGGACATGGCCCTCTCAATGCTCAAACTGTGGTTTCTTAAAGACCTCTTCTGCTGGGTTTGAAGGTGGAGGCATGATAGTATCTCTACTAACTTCAATAAATTTTCAGAAATTACCTTTTTACTCCAGATCATAGACTTAAGCAATTAAATAATATTTGTCTCACCTAAGGAAGCCTGTGTTCCATTTGGTGTTGATTACATTCATTACTAGAAGCTACCAAGCCAAATCAAAAGAAAAACACAAATTTCATGCTGTTTACAGGAGTTCAGATTAAATATAGTGTTTCTATTACTCAGGAGGCTTGCCTTGTATTGACACAGAGAAAAGTGTTTGGTAATCTCCTATTTATTATTTCATATCAGAAAGGTAATATTCTTAGTAGAATATTACAGGATAACATAAAATTTGCTATTATTATAATTTGATGACTCTCTTCAAGAATCCAGTTTTATATATTTTCTCTGGGGGTAAGAAAATAGGAATTTAATTTGTTCAGATTCTGAACAAAAAAGTATACATATAAATCCATGTTTGATGAAGATAGTATTCATATTCAAAAGCTTAGTTAATTTTCCTAACATTACTTTCTCGTATGTGTAACAAGGTTTAAAAAAAGGGTTGTCTGAGACATTTACCAATGCTAATTCATATTTGGTATTTTATATATTTAAATGGTTTTATTTGATGATATCTGGCCTATGAATAAGTTAAATTTGTTTCAACTTTCTTACATTGTGGCTCTTATCACCTACTTAAATTTTGTGTGGTAACATTATTCTTACTGTAATAGGACTGCAAAGTGTAAGTTTTTTGCTAGTAGTGTTTTTTCACTTTTTAATATAAAGCAAGGATTTTTAATGGGAATACCATCATGTGATAAATTGAGGCAGTGATACAAAATGACACATGTACATTGGTAATGTTATTTCTATAAGCAACACCATGTATTTTTTTACAACCCACTGAGTGGTATTTTCATTTAATTAAGGTTGAAAACCTTTGGAAAAGCTTGCTTTTCTTCTCTTGCTTTCTTTGAAATTGAAATGGCATTTTTATTTATGGACTGTCAGTTAAAGGACAACAATTTTTTAAGCAAGTTGCTGTAGTTAACACTTGCTTTTTCTTGCTGGTCTCTCAGAAGAAAGCTAAGGAAGCTTTGGCACACACAGACACACATGAATACCATGGATGTATCCTTGGACTCCCTTTCAATCTAACACAGAAGATGGGGCAGGACGGACACAGCAGTTAGGGCGTCGAAAGTTCTGCAGCATGGACTGGAAAATGCTCTGCTGCCTGCCTTTGAGCTTCTTATTTGAAGAAGTATCTGAGGAAATGGATCTCCGGGCCTGACCGCTTTGCGTTTTGACTAATTTCTCTTGTTCCTTAATTTGTCTTTGTAAATGGTTCTGGATAGCAATTCCCAGGGACTCCGGGTCCAGGGAGGCACCATACACTTCCCAGGTCATGCCCTGCTCATCCCACACCACGTCCCTGACACGCTTGGACTGTTTCAGCTTGGAGTCTGTGCCCAGCTGCTTTTTCTTCTCTCCTGGCGTGAGCCCCACCTGAGCAGCAGCTGCTGTCACATTCAGCTCCTTGAGGAACTCACTGACCCGGCTGGCCCTGCGAGGGCTGGCTTTGATAGAGCGAGAAGGGGTCCTCTTTCCAGAACCTGGGCTGGAGTCCCCCATGGAATCGGATGGCAAGCTCAGGCTCGTGGCTGTCTTGGTCTGTCTGTTGTCTTCTGAGATGCCCTCCTGGTTCTTAAGTGGGGAAGGTGTGGATCCTGTGCCTCCATTTTTTTGAGATTTAGGATGGAGCAGTAGTGTCTTGGCATCTGGGGCACTGGTGGCAACAGACTCTTGCTTTTTTACTATTTGAGAAGATTCAGACTTTCTCTCCTTTGCACCTCCTTTATTAGTGGTTTCCAAACTCCTGGACTGGTCACCTTTGCTGGTACAGGAGTCAGACTGTTTGGAATTTGAGCCTGTTTTGTGGTCATCTGCGGTTTTCACTGGAAACTCAGAGAGCTCGGTTTCAGATTTCCCCAAACCATGACTACTTTCAGCTTCATTGCCCGAGATGCTAGAAATCTGGTCAGTGGGGCTAGACTTCAGGGACCTAGAGTTAGTACCTGAAAGCAGTCTAGAGGTTGGCTCTTCCTCAGCTGGGGTCATTCCTGCTGACTTCCCATCCTCTTTACACATATCCTGGGCATGACTGCAGGCCGCTGAAGCTGCCTGAATGTGCACCTGTGGCATAGTGGCAGGGCACTGACAGGACTCCTGGGGGGCTGGCATGCTATTAGAGAGTTCAAATACATGGCTCCCATTGCCACTGCCATGGCAAATGACACGCAGTTGCTCTTGTTGTTCCAAAAGCTCAGGGGCAGGGATTTCCTTTAAGAATGCAGTGAGGATGCTGGGGCTGGTAGAGACAGATCTGCTTTCCACGCTTGCCACTGCCTGTACCTCAGCATCTTGCTGGGCTCTGCTGGAGACTTCCTTTTTCTCATTTTCAACTTGGTTAGTCATTGTGCTGGCTTCTTTGAACCTTGACACCTCATGTGCTGGCAACGGCTCCTTCTCTGGAGGACATGCTGAGCCTTTGCTAGTGAGGTGGGGTAGATGAGATGTCACAGATGTTATACCTTGGGTGTCTGAGGAAGCAGTGGCATGGAGCTGTTTGTTTTCCGCATATCCATCTTCTCCTGATGGAGGTTCATAGGACCTATTTGTGGAGTCACAGATGGCTTGCTGCTTTTCTCTTTCTTGTCCACCTGCAGGAGAGGATGGAGGACTGGACACCATGGGTGCTGTATTTGGAGTCTGTGCCATTCCCTGGATAGTTTCTTCAGAAGGAAAATCACAGAGCACTTGATCTTCAATGCTGCCACAGGTGCCCACTGCAGGACAGCTTGACCCCTCAGGTTGCTCTCCATTTGAGGTTCTCTGCAATGTCACTGAGGAATCTTCAGATACCCATGAGGCACTGGCACTGGGTTGTTCACCTCGGGTGGCCCGGTGAGTGTGCTGATTGGCTGGCATTGTCAAAGGTGTGTGTATAAGATCCTTTCTGCCTGTAGGACTCTGGGCTGGTGCTATGGGCTGACTGCTTCCTGGCAGCTGGGAACTACCAGGAGAATTGTGTGTAGGAGATGCCTTCACCTCATTGAAGACACCAGGAGAAGACATGTCTGGCTGGGTGGTCTCATGCTTGAAAGCCTGCATCAGCGCCTCAGTAGCTGTTCTGGGGCTGAGGCTGGGCTTTGCAGGGAAGCCCGCAAGGCCATTGGTGTCCTTACCCAGTTGAGCTGCTTGGTGCTGTGGTGAGGCAGCCTGCAGTTCTTGAGGCTTTTCTCTTCCAGTAGCTGCAATCAGGGAAGCTTTTGTGGATCTCAGAGGGTTAGGTACAGTCCCCATGGAATTTCTAAGAACACCAGGTGCTCTCCCTTTCGTAGTGTTTCTACTGGGAAGTTGTAAGAGCTCAGGATAAAGACACAGCCAGGGATGATTCCTCTGAAGAACTAGCCTGGGAATAAAAAAATAGTGTCGTTAATATGGTACATCACTGAACTAAAAGTATATGAAATTGCCATTTTTATTTCATCACGTAAACACATTAAACCTTTTATTTCCAATCTGTTGACAGAAAATAGATTGTGGGAAGAAAGATTTTGAAAAAAATTTAACTATACAACTATCATTTTGATATGTTAATTCTTGCTTGCATCCCACTGCTGTCTAGAAATACATTTTAATGTTAACACTTATATTTGATAAATACCTCAAAAGTCATTTGTGTAATCTGATTTACCAGAAATCAGAAAATCTTGTAAAGCTACTGTAATTAAGTCAGTAAGTACTGAAGTAGGCCTGAACAGATAGAGTATATGAAGTAGAATATTTAGAAATAGACCCTAACTGAAGAGGGATTTAATATATGACAAAAGAGATGTTTCACTTTAGTGGCCAAAGGTGAGTTATTTAACATAAGGGGCCAGTGAACAGTCCATCTGGAAGAGAAACAAACCAGACCTTTATCTTATACCAATTCCAAAAGGAAATCTTAGATGAATCAAAGGCTAAAATGTAAAATAAACAAATAAACTAAAACCCTGTAAGAAAATCTAAAACCATCAGGATAATCTAGGGGCAGGGGTGGTTGGCTTTGTCTGATGAGGGAGAAACTATATTAAAAAACATAAACTTAAATGACTGAAGTTCAAAAGTTTTGCATGGCAAAAGATACAATAAAAATAGAATAGATTTGAGAAAAATGTTTGTTGTCTTACAGGACAGGCAAAAATATCTATAACAAGGAGAACTCTTAAAAATTAAAAAAAATAAAGTAAGTTTATTGGCACAATTTAGATATACATAATGATTACATTTATCATAGGGAATTTGTACCTGTACATGATATATCTTGATTCTTATTTTTTCCTATTCCCTTCCCCTTCCTTCAACCCTTCTTCCCCTTGTTATTTACAAAAGCTGTCTCCATTTTATCACTTTTCTCATTTTCTTTCTTTTTCTCTTCCTTCTTTTCTCCCTTCCCCCTCCCCAGTGTCCCTTTCTATTTTAATATTCTCTTCCTATTTCACAATATCTATTATACATTTTGGTCCTTATTTATGTTTTTAGTTTCTCACAGCAGAGAAGCAGTGTGATATTTACATGTGTATCGATTTCTCTTAAGAGTATGGTCTCAAGGTGCATCCATTTACCAAGAAAGGTCTCAAGTTTATCCTTCTTTATGGCTGAGTAGTACTACATTGTATAAAAAAACCACATCTTTATCTATTCATCTGTTGATGGGCATTTGGGCAGTTTCCAAGATTTCACTATTACAAACTATGCTGCTATAAACATGAGTGTGCATACGTGGTTGTGGTAAGATGCTTTTAATTCTTTTGGGAAGATACCAAGAAGGGGGGGTACCTGGGTCAAATGGAACTTCTAGTTTTAGTTTTTCAAGGAATCTCCACACTGATTTCCATAGTGGTTGCCCCAGTCTACACTCCCACCAACAGTGGAGAAGGGTTCTTTTTCCCCCATATCCCCACCAGCATTTGTTATTGCTTGATTTCTTTACGACAGCCATTCTTTCTGGAGTGAGATGGAATCTCAGTGTTGTTTTAATTTGCATCTTTCAAATGGCCAGTGATGTTGAACATTTTTTCATATATATTTATTTGCGATTTATAATAATTCATCTGAGAAGTGTGTATTCATCTCAGATGCCCATTTTTGGATTGGGCCTTTAAATTTGGGGGGGGAGGGTCCTGATTTTTCTGAGTTCTTTATATATTCTAGATATTAGTCCTTTGTCTGAGGAACAGATGGCAAAAATATTTTTCCCACTTTGTGGGTTGTCTCTTCACTCTATTGGTGACTTCATTTGCTGTGAAAAAAGGTCTTTAATAACATGGGATCCCAATTGTTGAATTTTTGTAATATTTCCTGTGCAATTGGATGTTTGTTCATAAAGTCTTTGTGTATACTATACCTATGTATTCAGGAGGTCTACCTATTCTCTCTTCCAGCAGATTTAGTGTTTCTGTTTTAATATTTAGCTCTTTGATCCATTTTGATTTTAGTTTAGTGCATGGTGAGAGACATGGGTCTAGTTTTAGTTTTCAAAATGTAGAAATAAGAGGCTTTCTTCCAGTGAATGTGTTTGGCCCCTTTGTCAAAGATAAGGTGGCTGAGTGTGTTTGGAGTTGCATTTTTTCTTCTGTTCCATTGATCCTTGGGTCTGTGTTTTTTTTCCCCCAGAACCCTGCTATTTTTATCACAGTACCACTGTAGCATAATTTCAAGTTAGGGATTGTGATGCCCCTTGTCTTGCCTTTGCTGCTCAGAATTGATTTCTATTTTCATTGCACTACAGTCTGATAATATGCATGGGATAATTTACTTAAGCATGTTCTATGAGCTAGTCTGTCATCTATTTTGGAGAACATCCCATGTGCAACTGAGAAGGATGTGTATTCTGATGTTGTGTGGTGGAATACTCTGTAGATGTCAAGTAAGTCCATTTATTCAGAGCTGATATTTGTTGATTTTTTTGTCTGGTTGACCTATTTGTGACAGTGGGGTATGAAGGTCTGCTGTTACATTTGTTTTAGTGTATAGTTGATTTTTCATGATTGTTGATATTTGTTTTATCTAGTTGGATTTGCTGGTAGTTGTTGCATATATATTTATGATTATTATCTATTCTGCTAGGAGTTTTCCCTTAATAAGTTTTAGTGATCTTTTTGGTCTCTTTTGATCAGTCTTGGCTTGAAGTTCACTTTGTCTGTAAATAGAATAGCTACCCCTGCTTTTTCTGGGTTCCTGTTGCATGAAGTATTGTCTTCCATCCTTTGACCTTCAGTCTATGAATTTCTTTTTGGGTTGTGTGTTTCTTGTATGCAACATATTGTTGGATCTTCCTTCTTGATCCATTCTGCCAGTCTGTCTCTTGTAATTGGTGAATTGAGACCATTTATATTGATGGTTATAACTGATATGTATTAGCTTATCCTTGTCATATTATTTTCCTATTGTTGGTTCCCTGTATTTCCCCTCTGTTTAATTGCTTGCCTTGTCTGGTGGCTTCTTTCTATTGGTGTTCTTGGAGTTGTGGTCTTTGTTATCTCTATGTAAGAAATCCTTCAGAGAATTTTGTAGAGCTGGTTTGGTGGTTATGCATTTCTTCAGTTGTTCTTTTTCATGAAAGTATCTTATTTTCCCATTGATTTTGAAAGATAGTTTTGCAGGGTACATCAATCTGGGTTGGAAGTTGCCTTTCAGGACTTGAAATATTTCACTCCAAGGTCTTCTTGACTTAAGGGTTTGTGTTGAGAAGTCTTCTGTGATTCTGATAGGCTTTCCTTTATAGATGATTTGTTTCTTTTCTCTAACAGCTTTTAATATTCTGTTCTTGTGCTGAAATCTGGAATCCTGATTATTATATGCCTTCGTGTAGATTTATTTTGGTCATGGCTAATTGGAGTTCTATATGCCTCACTTACTTGTATGTCAAATTCTTTTTCCATGTTTGGGAAGTTTTCTGCTATTACTTCTGTGAACAGGTGTTTTATGGTGTTTGTGGTGTCCCCTTCTTACTCACTAACTCCAATCAATCTTTTGTTGTTCTTCTTTGTATCATCTTGAAGCTATTGGAGTGATTTTCCATTGTTTCTTGCTATTTTTAAGAAATCTTTCTTTTTGTGGTCACTAACCACTCCTGTCTTCTAGATCTGATATTCTGTCCTTACCTTTCTTCAAACAGTTGGATATACTTTCAGTGGAATTTTTAATGTCCTGGATATCTGTTTGAATTGGTTTCCATTTCTTTTGTATGTTGGGCATTCATAGTTTCCATTGTTTTCCTAAGCTCCTCTTTTAAAAAAATTTGTGTCTACTCTAGATTCCCTGAACAAGTCCTTCATTTTGATTGTCACCCTTCTTTTTTACCTCAGAAATTATTTCTGATCTGTTTTTCTCTACAGCCTCATGCATTTGCTTTTTTATTTCTGCTGCTATCATTTCAGAAAGTTCAGGTGGGTGGCTACTTATTTCCTCTATCTCATTGTTCCCTGGACTTGTCCTGGGTGGGCTGGCGGTCTAGGGTTACATTTTGCTTCTGTGTCTTGTCATTTTCCATTTTTAATTTTAATTTGTTTTCCATATTAATGCTTGTAAACTTGTTATGGTAGACAGCTTTTTCACTAGTATCAAGGCTTCCCTAAAAAGTGTCTATTTCTCAGAGATGTCTTCTAGATGTAGCTGGCTCTTGATCTTTGTGTCTGTCCCAAGATTCTACCTTCTCAATGTATTAGAAATGAGAAGTTGCTATTTGGCTCAGCACCTAGTCCTTTGGTACTGGACTATGGTGATGGTTACGACCCCAAACATTCACAGTGTTGTCACATAAGGCAGAACAACTGATTATAAGAGGTATGACACCCTGGTTAAAGTAGTATAGTTAGCAATAGCAATATCATCAAGCACAGCCAAGAAATGGACAAAGTATGGTATCTACTAATTTGGTACTTTTAACCAGAAAAGCAAGAGCTACAGTTATGTAACAAAACCCAACATAAAGTAGGAACTTGTATGCGGTGAGTTTCCCCTTAGTAGAGTGATTTTACCCTGTGTGTGGGGGGTGGAAGTTAAGAGGGATAGGGAAAAAAACAGAGAGATAAATGAAATATACCAATAAATATTTTGCTAAAAAAGAAACAAAGCTTTTGTAAATAAGGAGGGGAAGAGGGGTTGAAGGGAGGGGACAAGAATGGGTAAAAAAGAAACAAGATATATCATGTACAGGTACAAATTTCCTATGATGAATGTTATCATTATGTATATCTAAAATGTACAGATAAATGTTTTGCTTAAAAAAAAGAAGCAAGGTTGAAAGGTAAAGGATGATCACCCAAGCTTTGGGAAACTGGAGAAGACAAGAGAGTATAGAATAAAGGAGAAAGCAAAAGAATATGGAAACAAACCAGCAAGACTAGAGACCATGTTCACTCA